TTCCCCACAGTGTTTGCATACACTTCATTGCTCAGGTAAGTGACAGCTTAAGTTTGCCATCATTTGTGAACCAAATCTTGATTTTATAATGCATGTATCAGTGAAATGAAACACAAGAATAGAATTCAGATTTGTTTCCTGAAAGCCAATGGTTTTCAGGCTATCTGACATGGGAAATCAGCAGTCTTGTCCCCTATCTCCCCCAGTGTGCCAAAGACCAGCACCATCTTTGTTGCCATTGGCTAGTATTATTTCTTTCTTTCTTGGCAGCACTTTGAGGGACTGGCACTGCTCCATAGAGCACTATTGATTTAAGTGACATTTACTGAAACAGTGTGTTCTATTCAGAGTAAGAAATTTAAAGGTTAATTTTCTTATATCATTGTTGATATTAACAAGTAATTCATTTGATTTGAGTAACAATTTTACAGTTGATATTTTGTTCCCATGATGTATTGCTTTTAACATGCATTTCAAGACATCTTTGGAAATTTGTACTGAAATGTAGGAAAGAAGTATTTTGATTTTAAAAAGTCACATTTGCCATAGTCTTGTCAGTCAATTTTTCAGACCATTTTTCAAGGTTATCTTAAAATTCAGTTATGGAGCATTTAATAAATCAGTGGTTTGCAACTTAAATCTCTAGATCAGAGCTTTCCAAACATTTAATGTTGGTGATGCACTTTTGAGACATGGATTATTTTGTGACACAGTCATTCAGTTTTAATAGCAGACCAATCTCTTATAAGACATTCAGACACATACATAAATCGTAATAATTGTAATAACAACACATTTTATGGAAATCTTTCATTTATATTTTTAAAAATATATGATTTCTTTCTTATTTGTGTGACATATGATGTTATTTTATGTGATGTGTTTAATAATGTTTAATGTTTTATCAGGGGATGGTCAATTTTGATGTTTTATACTGTTTTTTAATTGATGGCATTGAATGGTTGCCAACACTGTGAACCCTCCTGAGTCCCCTTCGGGGTTGGAAAGGGCAGTGTACAAATACTGCAAATAAATAAATACATACATAAATACATACATACATAAATTATTTCACATAGACACACCTGCACACTGCAGCCAACACACTCATGTGTCATGACACACAGTTCGGAAAGCTCTGCTTTAGATGTCAGCTATCATTTTATGTCTTGTCGACATTTTGTCCCAAACGTAAGCCACTCTGAGACCCTTCAGGGAGGTGGTGGCAGGGTATAAGAATGAAGTTATTATTATCATTTCAGAAGACTGTGTGTGTTGACTATGGATTATTGATATTGTAATTCAGTGCACAAGTTTAGGAAGTATTGAACACACATGGGAGGGAGGTGATAAATGGAATATCTTCCAAGTCCCCAAAAGCCCCCAGTCTCCCCAAATTAAATAAAAAAAACCTTTCAGGTACTGTTTCTCCCCCATAATGTTCAAGATAGTTTTTGCCCATCTTCAAGCCCTCTCTTTCAATCCATCTTTTCTTTAGCTACCAATCTCATCATAGAGACTATGCTAGCTATGATGATGGTGGTGGTATCTGGTCATTTTACATTTTGAATTGGTACTGCAAATCTCTGTAAAGGACTGAGATCTTCAAATATGTTTCTTTTGTTTTTTAATTTTATGGCTTTCCTATTCAGATATTTTAAAGACAGTTCATGCATTTGGTTGAATTATGGTTTTGCATGCTTGGGAGCTGTTTAAAATGCTGTTTAATAAACGTGAGAACTGATAACAGTATTCAGTATCTCCCAGTAGTGTTCAGTATAACTGTGAGCCCCTTAAATGTTTATTTTGGGTCATGGAAACTTCACCTTGCAGGTCTCACTGCAGTGGATTTAAGAAGAGAGACAATAGTAACATTTGAACTGGTCTTTTGTCTAAAATTCATAAAAAGCTGGAACTGTCCAGGAATCGCTGTGTTCTCAGTGGAGTGGGGTGAAGAAGAAAATTTGGGGCAGGGTGCATTTTGCTGAAGGTTTGAGAACTTTAATAATCACATGTATTAATACTGAAGTATTGAATAGTTACATTTTTCTTGCTTCATTCCTTTATTTCATCAATATACTTCCTATTACTTCTTTCCTTTCCTGTTAAATCTTTTTAAAATTGTGGTAAAGGATCCTGATGTAGAAGATAGAATGAAGACTTTCAAGCTATAACTTTATAATGTGGTAACCCATATTACCAGTAAAGTCAATTCGGGAGGAATTAAAAATATGCAGCAAAACCATTGCCAATACTGAAGCAAAAACAAAATAAAAGACATATATGACAAATTTTGAATGTAAAAATTCCTAATGGTTGTGCTAATATTTCTATATATATCCCTATGTCCCACTGTACACAAATTAAATGCTTATGCTCATATTAAAAATTATAAGACTAAAGGCAGATGATTTAGATATTTGATGTAATACTAAATTCATATAAAATGTAATGCTTGATTTTTAAATATTACATATTCTACACATTTTTGTTTTTACTTGACAATTGTGACATGTAAACTTTTCTATAAAACAAAAATATTAGATTATATAGTTGCTCTATGCCTTCAAGTCATTTCTGACTTTTGATGACCCTATGTTACAGAATTTTCTTGACAAGATATCATTTGATGAGGAAATTTAGGATGCACCTACGTCAGTGGTTCTCAACCTGTGGGTCCTCAGGTGTTTTATTTCTGTTTCAGGTACCATGTTCTCTGTTAAAAAAGTAATATTCAGGAATGCTGCTACTTTGTTAACAGTAGGCTACCTGTGTATTTATTTGAAAATACATTTGAGGAAACAGATTTAGATGCACAGTTCTGCACATCCCAAGAAAATAGTTTAGAAGTCTGGCATAACATTTATGCTTTTCAGCAATTCAGATAAATTATAATCTCAGGCTATTGTACATAGTTAGGTATAATAGATTCATATTTTGATTCACTTGTAAGAAATACTGTCTTTGCAGACATACACTGGTAATTCATCCTTTTATGGGGTATTGTGAGTCTACACTGTAATTAAAAAGCAATACATTTTCAGATAAAGTAAACTTTCTAGATTACAACTCTGTCAGTTACTACCAGAAAGTGATTTTTTTCTTGTGTCATCCTGGAGACAATACAAACATCACTCAATTTGATGGTGACATTTTGTAGTTTGATGCAATCTCTACTGAATTTCGTATTCTCTCCCTTATGAATTCACTTAAAGAAAGGAAGAGTAGAATAGGTGTATGTTTACAAAATAAATCAGATAAATCCTGCTAGCAAAGTATAGCTGGGAGAAGCAGTATATGAGGCTGCTAATTCAAGGAGTGGAACAAATTCTTTGGAAAAGATTTGTTATTGCTAAATAATTTATTGTCTTTCATGTAGTCATTGGATGGTTTGTTCTATAAAGAATAGTCATGATCACTAACGTGGTAGTAGCCCATAAATTTGTTTCTGCCAAGTTGATCCCCTTAACCTCATTACATTAACCCTAAAGATAGTTGCCATCTGTCAGGTGCTTTGCCACTTCCTCTGCTTTCTGAGGCAGTGTATGTTTGTATGTTTCTTTGAGTCACCTTTTGACCACATGAACTTCACAGAATTTTTCAGGCAAGGAATGCTCAGAAGTAGTTTTCCCACCTGGATTATAGTCAGCAGCACCTGGTTTCATTGGTAATTTCCCATTCAGGTATAACAAGGGCAGGCCTTGCTTAGCTTTCCAAGATAGGATGGGATCAGGTGCCTTTGGGGGTATTTAGGAGTAGAGACAGTACCATGTGAGAATTTTTAACACCTCAGGAAATTGAATTGAGTGAGGCTTTACTTCACATAATGCATGCATTCATTATTTTTGTCCCACTCTAAATGCCTCTAAATTCTAGAGAAAAAATGGGATAGTTGCCCACACATTCTTTCCAATTACACTCTTTGTGTATTAGATCCTTCTTTTGAGATGTGTGAGTATGAAGTAATAGTAAATCGCATGGTTGCTTGTTTCTTGTCTATTTTATTTCACCCTCCTTCTTTCTTCTTGTTGGATATATCATTTAGCACTCATGGCTTCTAGAAGAGCACCTTAAAACATGACTAAATTATGCTGGCTTATTCAGGAGTCCCAACCTTTTCTGGCCATAGCCACTGCAGTCCTTGTGATGAATAGAAGGAGCTGTGAATCAGGCTGACCAACCGTTTTCAGTAGCTGGTTTTGTATCCCAGAATCTATTCCATGAGAGGCAGCCTGATGAGATTCAAAGAAAAATACTTTGGCTAATGTACTGAGCTCAAAACAGAGGTGTAGTCCCACAAGGCAAAGTAACCTATTAATGAAAGACAGATTGTTCAGAGCAAAATATGTGCATTATATGAAAATTGTACAAAAATCAGGGCAAAACAAATGCTACTTGAAAAATTCTCACCAAATCCAGACTAAACACATACTCTTTTTTGACACTCAGAAGTAGGGAAAGCATCCAAAAAGAACTATTTTGTTTTTAACACACCAAAATGCCAAGTATAGTTGTGCACTATGCAAACAAAAAGTACCAGTCTGCAGGCACAAAACATTTTTATTGTGTGGTACTTGATAGCATTATAGTTTCCCAGTTGTTGTTGTTGTTGTTGTTAAAAACAAATTTAAAAGATCAACAGAGACAGGAAACTTGGCATGTTCCAAGGGAGATGTTTGAATAGACAGCATGGCATGTTGTGGACCTGGGGTTATTTCATGGAGCAGACTCAAAAGTCGACACTACTCCTGCCTGATTTTTGAAATATTATTGCCTGATTAATAGAGCTGCGTTTTTGACACTTTCATGGCTTTTTGATTGACTCAACATAGATATTAATCACAATAAGTATTTTGGAGTTTATTTTATGGTCAACACACTTGTCCCTGTATTAATAAAGAGAAAGTATCAATTACATGAATTCATTTTCACTTTCCCTCTCACTGTTAAAGAATTAAAATGCCAAAAACTTGTTCTAATTGAATCCTAATATATTTTAGTGCCCACTAGTGATGAAGAGGAGGGAGTCATGCTCTTTGATAATGTTGCAAAGTCTGCCATTGATCCCTTCGACACATCATCTGGATCTGTACAACTGATTGCCATAAAGCCAGTAGCATTGCCTTCTGTACATCCAATTTCAGACAGGAATCAGGAAACTGCTGTCCTTAATGGGGAGGTAAGTGACAAATTTTGTGTGATATTCTGCACTTTGTCAGGTTTTTACAATAAATGCTCAGCAGAGGGGAATGTGATGTGACTGGTTATCAGGATAACTGATAGGAAGGGCTAAGAGCAGTTAGGAACTGAATCACTTGCTGATGTCTGGCATAAAATATAAAAGGTTATCTTTGGACTAGATCTAGTTACAGGCCATGTCTCTCTCAATACCTCCATTAAAAAAAATACTTTTTATTCAGCGTTTTCAGAGATACCAAAATTTTATAAATATATCAAAAGCAAAAAGGGAAGGGATAGAGGACAAAAATGGAATAAAAGATGTTAAAAGATAAAGCATAAAAGAGAGAGATTAAAGAATAAACAAAAAGAAAAAAAATCATCCTTCTAACAATATATAACATCCAGAGCCCTTCCAGACAGACCCTATATCCCAGGATCTGATCCCAGGTTTTCTATTTATCCCAGGTTATCTGGTAGTGAGGACTCATATAATTCAGTTTAAAGCAGAAAACCTAGGATCAGATTCTGGGATATAAGGTCTGTCTGGAAGGGCCCTCACTGTGCAAGTTCAAGACTATGACATTAGAACAACAGATTTACAAAGAGTGCTATGAGCCATCAAGTCCAAGGTGCTGCTCAGTGTAGGATCTCTGACTAGAGCATTCCCTGCCAATAACTCTTCAGCCTCTTTTTGAAGACAGTTGGTTCTATTGCTGAACTGCTGTCACTGTCAAGAAATTCCTTCTAATGCTCCATCTAAATCTACCGTCCTATAACTGAAAACAATTAGGCCTAGTTCTACCCTCTTAGACAGTACAAAACAAGCAGTACGCTCCTTTTTATGGCAGCCTTTGAGGTATTTATTGAGTGAATTTTGTCACCTCTTAATCTTCTCTTCACCAACCTGAACAAGCTACTGAACCACTCCTCATTTATTTTATTGTCCATAACTCCTATAATTTTATAGCCGTTCACTGAAACTGCCCCATTTCTATTTTATCCTTCTGCAAATGAAGTGCCCGGAAAACTGTTCTGGGCACTTCACAAAGTTTGACAAGTGCAGAATACAGTGTCATGCTTATTTTGCTTAACTTGTAAACTGCTTCTGTTAACACAGGCTCACATTTTGATGAACAATAATCCCAGGTAGTATTGCTGAATCATGTATTTATTTTGTGACCTAAATGCAGAATTTTGCCTTTGTTACTAATTAATTTCATGTTATTAGTTTTCAGTACAGATTTCTAGTTCATCAAATTCCTTTTGAACATTGTGCCTATCTTCCAAAATGATAACTATCCCTCCCAGTTTTGGATAATCTGCAAATTTGATAACGATTCCTTCACCCTATCATCTCAATAATTGATTAAAATTTTGAAGAGCTTCAGCTCTGCGACAAAAAATATTCCATATTTAGACAGTTTAATAATCAAAATATCAATTATATTGTAGTGGATATGTTACAAGTGAATTACTAACAAGACTTGCAGAAGTGAGCTGGAAGCTGAATGTGAGAATGCTATAAATGTATTGGTTCTTTTTGTGTAAGTATTGGGATTTGCCTGATTTTGGTTTTGGCATAGGCAATTCAGAGTTGCATTCTGTTTTAATTATCATTATTCTTTCTGTTTGGATCTATCCATATCAATATCTACCAAATCTGCCACCAGTGAAATTAAAATATATATTCAGAGATGAAACACTGCAACCTGTTCTTATAATAAACCATTTGAAGGCTATAAAAACAAACTTGCAAGAAATCTCCAATAACTTTTTCACAGCAAGAGAATAAACTCAAGTGTTATATTTATCATTTCTGGAGTTTAATTGCCTGTGGGAAATTGTAGTATGACCTGCTAATTTTTATAATTTATTTTTTATTTTGTGGGTTTTCCCACTTTTTGCCAGATAAATAAAGCGTTGAAACAGAAGTCGGATATAGAGCATTATCGCAATAAACTGCGCCTGAAAGCCAAGCGGAAAGGCTATTATGATTTCCCAGCAGTTGATAACAATAAAGGTTTGGCAGACAGAAAGAAGATATATGAAAAAGCACAAAATGAAATAGATCACATTTTGGATCCTGATACAGATGGGTCTTCTCCATTTATAGAGCCCAAAAACAGGTGGGTAGTTCTGTGTATTTTAATTGCAGCCTGTCCAACCAGTTCTTGTCTCTTTGCGAAAAAACATCAAGAAGTGAGAAAAAAGACTTTCCAAGTGCCTTATCAAAGAATACAAGTTTATTTGTATTCAATAATGTCTTCACTGTATGCCTTATTTTATCAATTCATTGAATTATAACTTCCTCAAGAGTACTGTGTTTTATGATTGTGGGTTTAAATCTGTAACATGATGATGGTTTTTTTAAAAAAGTGGGAATCTAGTCTGGCCAAGGGGATAACGTTCTTTCTGTGTTATGCTTTGATTAGAATTGGAAAGCACTGTTATCTCTCAATATCAAGACAGGAGAGTTTGCCCAAAGGGGACATCTTAAAAAAACAAACAAAACCCAGATTCAGAAACATATACACACACACAAATCAATTATAAGTTTGCCAGTCTGTGATTTCCTTAAAAACAGCAGGAGGGTAAATGATGGCTTATGATGCCCATTTGAGTATTATGCAATAACTACAATCTAGGGAGTTGCTTGAAGGCTTACGATTATGAGTTTTTAAAAGTGATGAGTCTTTAGAAGTGATTATAGATGTTCTGTCAATTAAACAATACATGTGACACTGGAGAGAACTGTGGATTTGTTGCATTTAGGAATATAAAGTGTAGAAAAAAATAACTGGTGGTCTATTTTAAACAATTTATCTTTGAAGAAACACAGGTACTCCCACCTCTTCTCCAGTCTGTCCTATAACAACATATTGAGAATAGCTTCTAAGTAGTCTAGGAGTACTCACTTTAAAATCTTTCTTTTTGTGCAAAAACATGCATTTTATTTAACCAAATCTTAATTCCTTCCCTAACAAATATTGTTGATCAGTAACTTGTTCACAGGTATGTGATTATAATGGTTTTTAAAAAGACTATATTTACACGTGCGCGGGGCTTAGTTTCCATTTCCCCTTGAGAATACATGTTGGCACTATTCACATCAAAACAAAAGATTGCCTTCAAGAGGTAATCTTCAACAGATAATAGGATACCTGATGGGATATAAGAGAAACAGTGTTATTATGGGGTAGGACTGAAACACTAGCACTAGGGTCTCCCAGGTGGGACACAGAGTCAGGATGAGCTCTAAAACAGAACGGGAAGTGAAGAGACAACAAACAATAACTTTGGCCAAAGAATCCACCAGGACTCAAAACTGTTTTCAGTCCAGTTTACAGCATTGGTCAAGATGATGGGTTTATTTGAAGCATCAATATTTTATAGAAATTCAGAGTTAACAAAGAAAACGATAAACTGTACATGAGTAATATCTAATTCATATGTGGCAATTCTTATCTAAGGTTATATGAATAGCACGGAATATAGCCAAAGGTTGTATGTTGTTTACAAAGATGTTCTCAGGATCTGGCACTGTAGGCATAACATCAGTTTGGGGTGGCCCTGGGCACATAATGTTGCAGTTACAGCATTTCTAGCATAACATAAATGGAAGAGCTCAGCAAAACAATAATGGCTACGAATGATATGTCAGTTATGGAAAAAACTGAATTAATCAGGCCAATTACAACAGACCAGATGGATTTGTAATTCTATTTTATGCTAACATCATCTGGCAGGGTCTGGGCAGACCAAATCAGAAATATACCAACTGCTGAACACTACAGTAATATACTCTTGAGCAGAATTGGGGAATCTCAATGTGGCTGAATAGGGTCCTCTTTGTGTTCCGGTTTGCCTTCTGGACTTCCTCAGATGCTGAAATTTAATTTAGTCTTTGGTCTAAAAGAGTTTCTTCACCCTTGTTTTTGACAGTTCTCCTCCACAGGGAGTTATTGCATTAATTCATAACTATAACTTCTGAAACCCATAATAAGTCCTATTTAAAGTGCAAAATAATATTTTTGCTATCCCTGAGGCATGAAGGTATCAGAGAGTGCTTTTCACTATGAATGAAATTGGTAAAAAGTGTTTATTGACATTCTGCAATATGGAGGCACACACGTGCCAATGTCAATCGATTATTCATTATTTATAGCTGGCTTCCAACTGAAGTGGAAATAGGAAATGCTTGTACCAAGCAAAGATGGTTAAAATTATCTGTTCTCTGGGTTAATAGGTCTTTGCACAAGAATATACCTTGCTTTGCACCATAAGTGTAATTCTCCAAGATACTTGGCAAAACTGAATATTCTTAAATATAGAAATACTTTTTCGTGATTAGGCTGATTTTTTCCCCAGTGATAGTCACGGAAGAAGGATTTGAAGGTTTGAAACCCTACCCATGATGAAATGGCATAATCAAAATACTGACATTTTTGCATGTTGTGATAATTAGTTGATGCCTCACTGAGCAAATTTGCTATTTGCTTTTCTAAAATATATTCTTTGTTTGTAATATCTGTGAAGATGCTTGACCATAACCCTAACCTGTGCCCCCACCAAAATTACCAGCCTTTTGTACATCCAAATGCAAGCAGATAGGAAAAGGTGTTTTCACTTGTGAGTTACTTCTGCCTTCTCCATTCAGAGTATTGGTTTTTACTTGCTGATTTTTGCATATGCTCTTTCCCAAGAAGGCAGATAATCTATTCTCCAAAGTGTGAGTGAAATCTTAAAACTAAAGCAAACAGTTAATATAAAATGGACATGCAAACAAAAGCAATTATGAGTCAGAATGAGAATTAAAAACCTCTAATCCTCCTCTTATTAACCAACTCACTTGTCATTCTAAAGGAAGTCACTCACTACTTTTAATTCATTTCCCATTTGTAAATTTTCATTGAGATATGTGACTTCCCACATTACATGATTGAAGCTCTATATATCATCAATAATACAACTACTTTTGCTAATCCAAGAATTAGCTAACAGAAGACAGAAATAACATTAATTTAACAAAATAGAAGGCAAAGAAACCATATGTCCAGAAATACTGCAAAATGCAGATTAACTGGACCAAAAATGGTTCTTGAGTTTTACTTTCCTGACTTTCGGTACCACAAACAAACAGAATTCTGCACCACAAAGAAACCCATCTAATTATTGTCAAGTATTTACCTCTACCTCAGCAGAGTAGTGAAAGTGTCCCTAAGTTACGAACCAGCTAGGCCCCAGATTTCCCAGGGCAATGCAGGAACTTCACTGTGTCAAAATAAAAAGACCAAACACACACTTCAATATTTTGATGAATCTGCTCCCACATGTTTCTCAAAATAAGCATTTTTGCAAACACAACTTTCTCACTGAAAATTCAAACACCTTTTTCTTTCCTCATACCCAAGGAACCTGAGTCTTTGCCATTTCTTTTCCTCTCTCTTTCTGTAACCTTTGGGGATGTACACATTTGTTTAACTTCCAAAGACTCTAAGGTACTTAAGTGTTGGCCTTTTGTTGTACAGTTTTAAAAAAACTGAGTCTCATTAATGCAATAACTCCAACATCTGTTTAATATATGTGTGGCTGTTTAAATTGCTTCAGCCCACAGTTCTCCAGGAGTTTTGACATCATTCATTGTGCAATCTTTCGTGGTTTTCAAAACTCCAGTTTTTCTCTCAGTGAGTGCCTTTGTGGTCTTCTGGCTGTAAGACACCTGGAGAAATCCATTACATAGAAGTCCTGAAGTTGTATGGACATAACAGAGATACTCACTTTGGGCATGCAAGGCTCAGCAAAGAGGTATCTTCTCTCTAACACAGTGGTTTCCAATCTGTGGTCCGTGAACCACCAGTGGTCCCCAAGAACTAAAATATGGTCCGCGCCCTCACCATTACTACACCGTTGCAATGAGAGTGATTGGTCTCACAAAGCCCTCTTAGTGCCAAGGCTTATTAAATATGGATTTTGGTGGGTGAGCAGATGGTGAATACTGGTATATGTTCTGTATCAGAAACTTGAGCTATCCAATGCAGTTTTCTGAATCAGCGCCCCAAATAACCAAAACAAATCTAAAGTTGACCAAAAACTGGTTTGTAACCGTCACTGTAGGGAAGGAAATTAGAGGCAAAGATGAAGTACTTTGTCCACATAATGAGAATACAGGAAAGCTTGGAAAAGAATACAGGGATTTTGAAATCTAGTAATCTGCATAAATACTATGCCACAGATGAAACTTGGGTAACCTTTCACAGTGACGGGTTGCTTAGATTCAGGAAGTCTCTCTACTGAGAATCTTTATGGCAATAGTGAAAGCAGTTATACTCTATCATCAACTGGTTTATTAGGCTATGAGAATGAAGAGTAATGTGTACCGCCTAGATGGTTGCTGTTGTGTGCCTGGCAGTGTAGACTCTCATAATCCAGTTCAAAGAAGATAGTTTGGATTATCTGCTTTGATTATCTGGATTATAAGGCAGTGTAAAGGGGCCTGAATCTCCCATTTGCTTGATTCCAGTTACTCCCAACCACAGCCAGCATTGCTAGCAGTTGGAAATGAGAGGAATTGTAATCTAACATCATTAGGAGCATTTGAGAGTTTCTACCACTTTACAGAAAAACTATCAAATTTATAAAATAATCCCATGATTCTAATATTCAGCATTCAGATGTTAGTAGATATAAAAGGGTTCGATCTTAAAACTTGGCCTATATGCCCTTTCTAAAATAGTCTATACCAGTAAAACAATAAAAAATAGTTTTCAGTGAAACAATAAAAATCTAGCAAGTTTAGGATGGCAAATGTTCCCCTTATTCCTCCTCTGTAGCTAAATTTGTTCTTCCTCTTTTTCTGTACTTTGAAATGTAAGCCAAAAAAGTCAAAAGCTAGCAACAGCATAATTTAGGCAGGCCTTCTTTACAAATTCATATTTTGTATAATAGCATTCTAAAAATCTTTACAAATTGATAGCGGTAAATAATACGGTCTGTACAAAGACCAGGTCCCCAGCCCCGTCTGTTCATTCCCCTTGAGTACTCTCTGCCACATGTTCATTGTATTGAAATGCTGCTATTCTGCTCTCTTTCAACACTGGCTGACCTCCATGCCTGCCAGTTGTTAATGCTGACACCTCCTTTCTCATTAGCGAATTCTCCTTAATTCTGCTAATTGGCAATCTCAGGGCGATTTCACAAATCCTTCTCATTATACGCTCTGGATTCTCCTCCCTACTTTAATGATTTCACAATTAGGTCAAGGGTGTGATTCTGCCTCAATAAAATGAAAACAGTGAAATTGTTTAAGCACAGAAAGGTTAGACATGTGTCAGTCCCACCATGCTCTACTTGATCTTCAACACCACTGGGAGCCATCCTTCTTCACTCATCTCAGTGGTTCTTTGTAAAAGGGAGGTTTAATGCCCCTGAATTGCTCTACCCTCTAGCATGGAAATTCACTATTCATATTTATGCCCACTGTCTCAACCTGTTATGTAAGGTGGGGAGAGGGCAAGAAAAGTCAGAGCTTAGGAGAGAGATTTAGATCAAGGCATGGAAGAATGTATTTGCTCAGCAAAATGTTAAATCTAGGCATGAGCCAGCTTTAGAACTTCCTTTCAGCCTTCCATTCAGACCCCTCAAAATGATGGTGGAAAATAGACTTTGTACTTTCCCTCTTATATGTGCCAAGGAAAGGGGCTAAAAACCTATTCATGCAAAAGTGAACTGGAAATTAAGGCATATGGGTTAGAGTGATGCCAGGAGCTTCCTTAGAAGCAGACGCAGATTGTTCTGAGAATGCATTTTTGTGTTGTTTTTATTGTTTTTTGATACAATGGCAACAAATTAAGTGTAAGCACATTACCAGGCACATGGACAAAGTGATCTATGAACCTTTGTTCTGTTAGTAAAGAGATTGTATATTTCAAAGGTTACTAAGATGGCAATGTTACCATCCACATTTCAAGTTCAATCCTATGGGTATAGTGACTTTATTTCAAAATAAAGATATATACCAATAAAAAGATATTAATCAAGGGTAGGATAGCTCTTACAAGCTATTGCTTTTGTACGGAATTTTAAACTATTATTTAAAATAGTATAGGCAGCACTTAATGGTAAATTTCAAAACAAAGATAGATAGCAATAAAATTATATTAATTGAGACGAGGTTGCTGCACAGAAAGGAGAGGCCACACACTTTCCCTTCCTCTTCTCTCAGCACAGAGATCCAGCTGGGCTGCTGTGCCAAAAGGGAAGGAGGGACACAGCTGGTAGAAGCTCTGCAAAGGGCTGCGTTCAGCCCCACACCTTCCCGCCAGGATCCTCACTCGAGTATAACCCGAGGGGACCTCTTTCAGCATAAAAACAGTGCCAAAAACCTAGGCTTATACTTGAGTATATACAGTATGTGATCTGTGTGATTTGTGTGATGCCTGTTATGTGTGAGGTGTGAGATGTGGGGAGGGGGATGGAGGGTGGGTGGGAGTGAAGTTAGAGGAGGGGATGGAGAGGGGGAAGGGAGGGAGAAAGGGGAGGAGGGACAGGGAGGGAGAGGTGTGGAAGGAAAGGCAGGGGAAGGGGAAGAAGGGGAGGGGAGGCAGCTTGGGAGTGGAGGGATCCAAGATGGGGCAATGGTAGCGGTGAAGAGTTACTGACTCCCTCTCTCTCGAGTCTATTAGTGTTTTGCTATTAAATCATTTAATTGCATCCTTTTGTGTGTCTAGAGCTTTTCTCCTTAGAATAAACCATAGAGTTCTAATTCAGTGCTTCTACTTTATGATTTTCTTCATGGATTGCATATCCTCATATGCATGACAGATCTATGAAAGTTATGCTATATTAACTGTAGATAGATAGTTAGTTTACTGCTTAGACCATAGGTGTTTCACATATAGACAAATAAATACATAAAAACCAGATTATAAAATACAATATAAGATACACCATTAAAATACTATATAAATCATTAGAACTATTAAAATGCTACATAAATCGACGATGAGATGCACCCTTAAAATACTACATGAAACTGGTACTTCCATAGGTAAAAACTTAGTAGAATTTACTAAATTTTAAACAAGAAACACTTTGGGTAGAAACAGCCACATCATGATTAGGTAAAATCGTCCCCAGAACAGTTGACTGCAATGTCAGAAATTTATTTATTTATTATTTACAGTATTTATATTCCGCCCTTCTCATCCCACAGGGGACTCAGGGCGGATTACAATGTACATATACATGGCAAACATTCAATGCCATAGATACACAACACATATAGACAGACAGTCAGAGGCTATTTAATATTCCAACTTTTTCTGGCCACTAGGGGAGCTGTTGCTTCACTGTCACCGTCCATCTGTGACACTGATGAAGTACTTGTTGGAGATTTTTTATGGCCTCATAAATTAGTTAAATTAGCCTCCCCACATATAAGTGGTACCTAAATTTCCTACTTGACAGATTGAACTGTCTTTCGGGTTGCAAAGGTTGACAACAAGCTACACAATTGGTCAGAAGCTCACTCTGACCTGTGCTGGCTTTGAACTCGTGACCTTTCGGTCAGTAGTGATCTTAATGCAGCTGACTCTCAGCCAGCTGCGCCACATCTTGTGCTGCCTGAACAAAAAGAGATACCTTGTGGTATGGCAGCACTATTGTTAGAAGCAAATTACTTTATAGCCGTTGGGTCTTTTATCAATCTACTGTCTATGTGTTTTATTTATGAAAGAATATTTGGATCTATTTACTATGCTACTCCTTTTGTTAACTAGTCTTACGTTGTCCACCAATTTAAAAATTGGGGATTATGTGTTGTTTTTTCTCTTTGGCCAACACAGACATTAAGCTTTTCTACTGGAATCTGGAAGTAGAATGGAACCTAAATGTGCAGTAAGCTAATTGATATGATGTGCTGCCCTTATGTTTTGGATGGATTTCAAGCACTCCTGGCTAATCTATCATTATCTGGAGTTATAATTAACAAGGGGTTAGATGTATGGTTATACCAGTTTCAAACTAGATTTGTACACTAATTTTCACTCATCAGAAGGTTTTAAAAACCTTTTTTTAGAGTTCATTGCCTGGTAGAGTCTAGTTCTCATCTTTCAAATACTTTATCTTTCTGTCTTTACTGAAGCAACCAATATATAATTTGATTCAATTGCTTCCCCAGTGTATGTGTATTAATAGCTCTCTCTCTCTAAATAACTGGAAATCTTTTTAAAAAATGACTTGCCATCGAAAGTAATTTTTCATAGATCAGAGCAAATATAATAAAGGCCGTAGGGCTTACTGTCACTTAAATATTTTGTATTTCTGCAGGCAACAAATGAAGAACTCTGTATACCGAAGCAGGCAATCTTTGAACAGTCCTAGTCCAGGAGAAACTGAAATGGATCTTCTGGTCACAAGAGAGAGACAAAGGCGGGGTATCCGCAATAGTGGCTATGATGTAAGTATATGCACGTCCTGCTTTTTGAATAAATTCCATGGTGGTAGGTGAGGACAGGCAACAGAAGCCACATTGGCCCTTGTGGAAGGAGGCATTCTCATCACTGAACCCCAATGCAAAATGGTTAATGCCCTCTGCAAAAGAGTTTTTGACCTGCACCTGCTCCCATTTTTGACTTAGGACATAAAAAAAGATTAAGTGATCTAAAAATGAACTTTTGAGGTTGTTGATATTAGATAGAAGACCTATCTTGCACATTGCACACTTTAGAGGGTATTTGGGGCACTTCAAGGCAAACAATGGGGAGTGTTGGTGCTCTGGAATATGTGCAGCGTAAAGGCCACTTTCTTCACCCATTATTCTCAGAATAATAATGAATAGTAAAGTAATACTTGGAAAATGATTTCTAGAATTCAGATACACAAAAGCACATTTACAGATTTGACAGAACCAGTTTTCTGTGTTTGAGACTTCAGAATTAATCTTGCTTAATTTTGATATTTTATGGTAATCTTGTTTGAATGTCCTCATATATAATTATATGTATGTATATATATATATAGAGAGAGAGAGAGAGAGCTCAGAATATTTTTTTTTCATAACTAGTTGAGTTTATTACAAAGTATAAGAAGGGCAGTCTTCAAAATAAGGTTTGAATGATGATGATAATAATAATAGTAACTTTATTTTTATATTTATTACGGAATTTCTACCCTGCCTTTCTCTACCCTGGAAGGGACTCAAGGCAGCTTACGAGTAGGCAACCATATGAAGCCATAGGATATGTACAATTACAAATATATAAATAGAGTTATAAAATACATTAAAACAGTTTTAAAACATAGAAAACAATACATTAAGAGTTAAACAAATGATCCATTAAACGTAATCCGGCCATTCCAGTTACATATCTTTCTATTTCTCCCAAAGGGGACTCGGGGTGGCTTACACGGGGACAAGCCCAGAAATCACAGATAAAAGCAACAGCATTAATTCATATTTATTTAATTACTGCTAATTGTAGCAGTTCAGACTTGTTAAGCAGGTAATAATTTTAGATAGAACAACTAGCAGGAAAAATAAAGCAAAGCTAAACAACCCCCTGTTATTTTAAATGGTTGTACTTGATACACATCTCATTATACCTTGTATAAGTAAGCATTATTAGAATCTGGTACTAGGCATAGGGATCTTGAAATCTCTGCCATCCCTCCCTCTCTTTTTAGCAAGTTATTACATTGACATAAACAGTCTTGGGTGCCTTCTATCACTGCCAGATAATCCACGTTATCAAAGCAGAAAATCCACATTTTCTGATTTGAACTGGATTATGTTTGTCTACATTGCCATATTATCCGGTTCAAAGTAGATAATGTAGATTTTATACAGCTGTGTAGAAGGAGACTTGGAAAGCTGTAAAAGAATTGCATTGTAAAGATAAGGCTGTAAGGGGATGGAAAACTATGGAAGACTTCTAGCCTCTAATGCTGTTCTGCCACTAACAGAACAGTGGGATCTAGGGCAGCTCGGAGGGGTGCAATCAACCCTTCCTACAGCAGTAATCTATGCTCTTGAAGGTCTGCCTTGGAGGATGGGGAAAGCACCCAAAGCCAGTTGTTGCGTGGCTGTGGAACCAGCAGAAGGAGGGGAAAAGGAGGTTTTTATGAGTGGATTTACACAATTAACATTAAAAAGATGAAGAAAAAGAAAGTTGTACTGTTTGGCAAGCAAGGCAGCCATCAGTTCAGAAAGAGTTTGACAACTTGCAGAAAAATGTTAATTTGCATGACTTAAAACTGTTGTAACAGATTGAGAAGGGCTGTTTGGAAATTAATAGAGAATTTTCACCAGCCCCTTCCTTTGTCTTTTAGAATCCTTTGGCATGAGGCATGACAATTCAATTGGTATAGAATTATTATATGCTTGTACGGCTGAAAATGTTGGAGCTCTGAATTACCAGCAGCTTTTGCAATTATGGCGCCATGTTAAAATGAGGGACTCTGATGTGGTGGTAGAACTTGTGTTTTGCTCTATTGTATTGTAAAGGAAGATGGCATATGTGTCAACCTAAATCATAAAATTAATAAAGTTTATGTCTCACTCTCCTGCTGGTCTGTTCTGTCTGCTTGGATTGATTGCATTATTGCGTGATTATTATTATTGGATTATTGGATAATTTGGGAGTAATGTCAGGAGCACAAGTAGGCATCAGAACATTGCTATGTGCTGGCTGATCTAGTCTGGAAGCAATTAATGCTTAGGCTTAGCATGGGCATAATGTCAGCAGAATATATAGTTTGCTTTCAGTTGGTCTTGCCCCAGAGTTAGTGCAGCGAAAGATGAAGCCATGAATTTAACAAAATAAGAGCATATTGGTTTCGGGGCATGAGGTTTTTTTTTATATATTAGGAGAGCCCAGCTAGATCAGATCCAGCAGGTTTTTCAGCAACAACTTTTTTTTAAGCTTGAGGGCTTATAATGCCTTTAAAAAGTTCTGCTGTATGCTGAGTTAACTTGTTCATTTAGCAATTTGCCAAATCCCAAATACAGTAAACAAGGATAGCAATGTTTATTATGTAATTCATAACCTATTTGCCCATTGAACAGTGTATGCTCCTATGCTGTGGCATGTGACAGAGGTGAAGGAAACCATGAAACATCAAAAGATATTAACAAGTGTACATTTCTGAAAGGATTGTCTGTGTTGTGACACTGCTTGTCAGGAAACATAAATCATTTTGTGCAGTGTAACCAAGATTATGGCCTGTCCATGCTGTAGTGTGCTTCACTGCAGCTGAAATTTAAAGGAGCAGCTGGCTTAAAGTCTGTCTTTAAATGTACTACTTTTCCATAGCGAGTATGCGCTTCATATTACAATGTTGCTTTTGGAAAAACAAAGTAATTTTCTCTGATTAAGTATCAGGCAATAATTGGTTTTCTATTGTTCATCATGAGAATTTTTTCTTTGATTGCTTTAAAAAAAAACTAAGTTGATAAACAGGTTTAGCTCAATTGTTTTATTTTCATTTCCATTATTCATTTAATTTCTGCACAACACTTCCATCCTCTACTATATTCAGGCTGGCATAAATGGCTTTATGTCTCCTCCTCATTTTATTCCCAGAACAAACCTGTGAGAGTTGGAGGGGGGGGGGGGAGGGAGAGAGAGAGTGTGTCACCAGGTGGGGAATATGTGATCCAATCTCATTCACTCTATCTAGAGCAGTGGTTCTCAACCTGGGGTCCCCAGATGTTTTTGGCCTTCAACTCCCAGAAATCCTATCAGCTGGTAAACTGGCTGGGTTTTCTGGGAGTTGTAGGCCAAAACACCTGGAGACCCACAGGTTGAGAACCACTGCTCTAGAGTTTCTCAAACAGTGCTCCTCCAGATGTTTTGGACTTCAGCTCCCACAATTCCTAAAAGCTTTTAAGTTGGTTGGGATTTCTGGCAGCTGAAGTCCAAAACACCTGGAGGAGCACAGTTTGAGGAACACTGCTCTGGTCCAGTACTACAGAGTAAAAAGCAACTCTTTCACATTTAGGTTAATGTACTATTATTAATTTTAATCTATATTGGTTTCAATAATTTATCCCCCACCTTGAGATTCAATACTGCAGGAAAGTGGCATATAAATGAATATGACAACAACAACTTCTGTGTAGGCCTGCTTACAGGTCTCTATGATAGTGCAGTCTAATTATCGCAGCCCAACCAAAAAAAAAAAATGTTTTTCTTGGTGTCTTGGCTTTTAGGCCTGTTCCTCGGGTTATTTGGGTCACTAATTCAGAAAATTGCATTGAATAGACTGCATCAGCTCTACTTTCTTAGATATGGTTATCATGGCTTTCTATGGGCAAGCAGATGGTGACTAGTATATGTCATATGTTCTGTATTTTAAAAACTAGAGCTGATAGGGGGAAACTGGTGCCATTTTTGGAATCAGCAGGCAAAATATACCCAGAAACAACACTAACATTTCAGGTACCAAAATGCTTGTTGGCTAGTGTTGTCCGTTGTGTCTTCCTCTACTTGCTCTGAGGAGGAGTTGGAAGAAGAGAAGGCTGAAAAGGAAGGGGCTGGGAATTCTGGGCAGATGGTCAGGCCTACTCGGGAAGAGGAGGGAGGCATGCTGGTTATTCCTACCTTTCAAGAACGCCAAAGGGAGCTATAAGCAAGGCGTAGGTCAGTCAGGATTGCTGAAAGAGGTTTTATTTAGATTGTAAGCCTGAGGGCAGGAAACTCTCAAATTACTCATATGTAAACTGCACTGGGAGCCTTTCGGGCTAAAAATAAATGCACTTGTACATAAATACTTGCTGGGGGTCCAGGCAGGCGATGATGTGTGATTGTGTCTGGATGGTGACCCAGAGCTCCCTCCACCCCAAGACACTGATTTTGTTGGGTTTTGCCCTGGTGCTGTCAGGCTAAATTGTGCAGTTGTCATAGCATAAACTACACTGAAATACTCTAAACCAGGGGTCCACAAACTTTTTAAGCAGAGGGCCAGGTCACAGTCCCTCAAACTGTTGGAGGGTCGGATTATAATTTGAAAAATAAAACATGAATTCCTGTGCACGCTGCACATATCTTATTTGTAGTGTAATAAAAACTTAAAAACAATACAATAATTAAAATGAGGAACCATGTTAACAAATATAAACTTATTAGTATTTCAATGGGAAATGTGGGCCTGCTTTTGGCTGATGAGATAGGACTGTTGTTGTTGTTATATGCTTTCAAGTTGTTTCAGACTTAGGTTGACCCTGAGCGAGGGCCGGGTAAATAACTTTGGAGGGCCGCATCCGGTCCCCGGGCCTTAGTTTGAGGACCCCTGCTCTAAACAGAACGTTGGCCTAACACAGCTGGGCAGATGGACTGATCTATTACTAAGGTGAGGGTTACAAGAGACCAGTATTCATGGTCTCCCTGAAGTAATGGCCTTGTTATGACCAATATAGGAACACAGGCAGGTTTGGAAAAGTGGAAAGGCAGGCAGGCAGTGAAAGGTTGTTGTGTTAGCTTCCCAGTCTCCTTGCCAGGCTATCATGGCAGGATTCCAAGAGGCTATAGAAAGTTTTTTTCTGTCTCCTATACACACAAAATATAAACTGTAAAGGTAGACCAGAATGATAGTTTCAGGGTTTCCAGTATATTTGTAGACTTGAAAAGATGTGTAAAAAAAAAAAAAATCTATGGTGCTATTTGAAACTCAGATTAAACCATTGTATAGACCTTAAACATAAACATGCGTTTATGTGGATTTTTTATTCATATAATGTTCTCTTTACATACTCCTTATCCAATAGACTGAACCTGAGATGATAGAAGAAACAAATGTTGACCGTATCAATGAACCCCGGAATTATACCAGAGCCCATCAAGCAAAAGGCCATTCAGAGACATCAACGTTAAGTTCTCAGCCATCCATTGATGAAGTTAGACAACAGATGCACATGTTACTGGAAGAAGCCTTTAGTTTGGCCTCAGCTGGCCATAATGGACAGAGCAGGCAACAAGATGCTTATAATTCTACACAAAATTTGCCATACTCTGAAGTTGTGACAAGCGCTCCTGGCACCATGTCTCGGCCCCGAGGGGGAATTCAGTGGGTACCCACATATAGACCAGAAGTGTATCAGTACAGTTTACCAAGACCTGTAAGTGAATACTTATATGTGATATGTCCAGAACTGTTGTGAAAATACTGTAATTCTTTGGGGGTTTTTCTCCATGCACCCCACAGGGATCTTAGCATAAATTAAGCAATGAATTCAGTTTTGTTTACAGAATGTTACTTCTGGTTTTGTGGGAGGTGGTTTTATTTTAACAATTGCATAAAATATTTCACTTCTTAACTCTGGAATGATTTTGGGATTATATGTTCATTTTGATGAATGACTAAAGCTAGTTTTAATAAATAAAAGTGAAATGTAGACTACAGTTCTGTTGGATGATGTGACTACACTGATCTAGACGATAGCATACTTGGCTATGCAGCAGCAAAGATAAAATGGCCACTAGTGATGCAACAACTAGAGAACTGCCCTGCTGGCCCCCAAGCTTTTGAAGAGTAGATTTGGCAGCTTTCTCTGGCAACAGATATGCTTTATTGTCACACTGTTGTTGCTCACTGCTCCAAAAGAAAAAAAGTGTTTTCTGATATCATATTGGAGTGCCATACACACACAAGTCACCAGCAGGATTCCAGCCTCTAATTTCAATGCTCATAGCAGGAGCATAGTAAAGAGCCAACCTGAAATTCAAATAACCATGTCACAGTGTGTACATAATTTGTTTTTGTTTTTTTACAACTATATGGTTCTCATTATTTTGGTTCATAAAGATGAGGCTATAGTTTGGTTAAAGAAACACAATCCTTTTTTTATTTTTTAAGAAGAAAACTGTGTCCTGACCCCAAATTTCCCTGATAGTCCCCTGCCAAGTCTCTTGAATCAGTTGCCAACAGATCTAAGGGACCTTTTTTCTCCTGTAGCAAAAAGTTGATTTCATGTTGGAGAAAAGGCCTAAAATGACTCAGAAGGTGAGGGTGGGGTGGAGAGAAAATATAAAATTGCCCTCCCCCATACCACTTCGGGGACTATTTGGGGTGTGTGTGTGTTTGAATTTTTGGGAGGGTTGCAATGGTAAGTCTGGCCCCATAACCCTAACTAAGAGATACCAAGGTTTGCTTGATGTTTCACATGTACTGACAAATCAAGAGCCCAAATACAGATGGCTCCTGAATAGTCTATAAATTTAATCAGTCAGATTCTATACAAGGAATGTTTTCTCACCTTGTGTATTATCTGGTCAATGTTGTGTATACAAAGTAAAATGATATTATGATTAACACACAAGCATTGAGATGTACGTGGTTTTAATCATTTATTTAAAATAGGCATGTTGCTGTTTCACTCAAAGCATATAATGATCAAAAGAAGGAATTGTAATATCATTTTTCAGATTTTTTTATGTGACACCAATAAAACAATTTTGTGTTATAGGCTGGAATGCACAGCATGCAGATTTTAAGGAAAGGGTCACACTCATGAAACATTCTCTTAATTTCTGCAACAGTTACATAAGAATAAAATATTTTAATAATGGAACTTAGTCAAATATGAATCAGCCTGCAGATATAAAGATATACTATAGTAAACCTGCGGAGGCTGTTAGGGGAAAATATAACTAAACATAAACAGCTGGTGATGTCTAATCTACATACACCCTGAAGAAATTCACACAGAAAAATACTGCTCCCAAGCATCCTTTCTTCCCCGTGTTGATTCCTAAGATGCTTGCGAGCCCAATCTGTTTCCTTTACTAAGGCTGGAGTATGCCTTGTACAGACATGTGAGTAGTGCTGACTAACACCTTCTCATAAGGTGTAAACGAAACATGTGGGGCTTTCAGATTAGAATTTCCTCCTTCTTTGTGTCAGCCAACAGAGCAATGGGGAAGGAAAACCTATTCTAATGTGTTCCCGCTAGAACTCAAAGTTTGGATTTTATTTTCCAGACTCTGCCATGTTGACTGTGGGATTCTGAGACTGGATTTTAGAAAAGAAAACTTTTCCCAAACATCTGAATGTTTTTAATTGTATGGTAGTGTGGCATAGAGAGGAAATGTGGGCTTGTAGAACTGGCAAAATATATATCATCCAATACTAACCCATTTTCAGAAGAAGTATGTGCTTTCCATAGTCTGTGCTGGATGATAGAGATGCCACTACAAAGACGGCTCACATTCTGTTGGCAGTTGTGATATTTTCTGTTAGGCTTAAGATCTTTTAGCTTTTTGATATTTACCTGTATTTTCTGGCATATAAGACAACTGGGCGTATAAGACGACCCCCAACTTTTCCAGTTAAAATATAGAGTTTGAGATATACTCATTGTATAAGACTACCCCTCTTCCAACGCACACCAAATAAAAATTTAAAAAGCATCAGATTTGATTTCAATATGGTAATTTTCCGATTACTGTAACTCCTTCCCTGCCTCTCAGATCTCGCACATGCGCACCTGCACTACTCCACTGCAGTCTTCAGGAGCAAGATCTGAGAGGCAGAGGAGGAGGTACGGTAATAGGATACAAGGGCGGGCCAGACAGGTAACAGAGGTGTGTTTTTCTGGGCCCAGAGCAACACTATCTCTTTTTTTCCATACCCTGGGCGCCCTGGACGCCTGCATCTTCTTCCGCCCTTCACTTACACCTTCCCGGTGAGGCGCATTAAGTCCACAAATCCTGATTAATGGATTTTCTTCTACCGTACTTGTACAACGTCACCCTTAATGCTTTCATACGGCAGGGACGCGGCCACTGCCAGTTTTGAGCTCCCCCCACCATATGCGGCAACCACAGATTCTCCAATCCACATTGGAAGTTTCAGCACCCACTCTATAAGACAACTCCCACCGTATAAGATGACTCCTTTTGTATAAGACGACCCTTGACTTTTGTGAAGATTTTCTTGGGTTAAAAAGTAGTCTTTATACACCAGAAAATACGGTACATTTGTAAATGTGAGTGAGGCACTGAAAGGTGATACACCCATCCCCCTCCCATAAGCCTCGGGTGTTACAATTAGTTGTGATATGTTCCCTGCTGGGTCTCTGCTTCTGCTTGCTTTACTACTGCTTGTTGCAGGGGGCTGGATGTGTAATCTTTTAGCAACCTTGTCAGCAGTGTAGAACTCCAATACCCTGGACAGTTGCCTGGATTTTAAGGTGGGGCTGGGGGAGGGGGGTTGTTATCTGAAATGGGAAGAATCTATCCTAATGTTCAAAGGGAGGAAATTCTAAAGCCTAAGAGCAACCATTGAAAAGGTCTCTCCTCTGTTTCCACCACTTGAACCTGTAAAGTTGGTGGGACTGAAAAGAGGACCTTCTCTGAGGATCTTAAAGCCTGAGCAAGCTCAAGTAGGGAGGCATAGTCATTCAGAGCTACTTTCCATATGACCTTGTCTGCTTGTCCAGAATTTCACACATAGAATTAAAAAAAATCTTAACTAAGGAATATCCCTTGAGTATTAGAAATGAATGAAGCTCACTGTCCTCCCCTACAAAAATCCATGCCTTGGGCACTTATACTCTACATAATTGTAGTGCTATAATTCTATTTGCTGTTGTTGCTGAACAGCAGAAAATTAGCAAGCCATGTTGATCTATATCCTTGGCAAATCTACCAGTTGATTTACGTCTACATTGTGTTTATTCCTGTCTTAAACTATTATTGTTGACAGACACCAAGTGTCTAACTTGTCTAGTAAGAAAACATTCTGCACAGATTTATTGAATTGATGTCTAACTGTGGCCCATTTCTCATAACTACCTTAGTGTGGTGAAGGCTGGTGGCACTGATTTTGGACAGATGGTGAACCTACCCTGGGTGTTACTCCAAACCTTAAAAGAGCTATCGAATGTGATGATTCTATTTTACATTCAGGACCCTAGACAGCTCCTTTACATTTCAGACAGTAACTGAAGCACATTGACCAACCCATTAACATTGGAGCCGCTGGCCACGGTTGCTTCAGTGTGTGCTTTTGAGAAAAAAGAGCACCCATTGTGGTCCATGATGGTGAATTTAGCCTAGGTGCTACTCCAAACTTTAAGGGAGCTATCAAATGTGATGAATCTATTTTACTGGTGTACATTCAGGACCCTAGACAACTCCTTTACATTTCAGACAGTAACTGTAAGCACATTGACTAAGCCATTAACATTGGAGCCACTGGCCACTGTTGCTTCAGTGTGTGCTTTGAGAAAAAAGAGCACCCATTATAGTCCATAATAGAGCTCCATTCATGTTATGTTAAATTGCTATTGTAACACAGAGACTAAAACTATGAGCTCAGTGGTTCCCAGGTAATAATGATAATAACCTTTATTTATATCCCACCACCATCTCCCTGAAAGGACTTGGGGCAGCTTAAAAGGTACTCCAGGGTGCACTTAAAGCATACAAGAGGTTAAAACAGTACAAAAGTATAAAACGAATCACATAAAATTATAACAACAACCCCCATCAACACATGTAGCATAAAATCAAAATAATACAATTTTAAAACAACAGTGGATAAAACAAACTGCCGTCAGGTAGAACTTTCACCTTAGCCTTCTGTTTGCTGGAGGGCCTTACCTTAAGAAAGCCTAGCTCTCTCAATCTCAGACTCACATGTAATACTGACAGCGTTGTTACAAGATTTACTCAGCTAAAGTGTGGGAAGTTGTGAATGTCCTTGAAAGCCCTGTGCTAGATACTAGTATCTATTTGATGCAGATGCCTACATGCTGAAGCTACATTTGGCCAACACTGTTGGCCAAATGTTCGAGACTAAGATTTGTAAATCAGCCAGATAAATATTGGCATTTTATACGATACAAGGTGTACAATACAAATGTATTATTAGCTATTTCTTTTGAAAATATAGAGGAATAAAATAGTGTAGTGGATGAGTTAGAGACCACGAAGGATGGAATAGAGGGATGGATTTAAATATTGGAGACCCCCAGTTGTCTGATTTTTGCCTTGTATTCTATGACAAGGTGTACAACTATGTCTCTGTATTTTTAGGGTACTTATAATGGCACACTGTACCTTATGGTGATTTTGATATGCAGCTCTGCTAGGCAAAGGAAGGCCAGAGGGCATTTCGGTGTAGCTGCTAAACAGATTCAATAACTATCCCTGTATTCCCAAGCAAACTTGATTATATCAATCACAATACAAAGCCTTCAAGATGAATATCTCATTCTTGGGGCCATAAACAGACGGAAACGGGTGTCATGAGGGTGCTTTAACACATGTATGAAATGGCAAAATCTCTGGCTGTGCTATATGTCATTTGATGCCAAGCATTGTAAATCCAGCTCAAGAAGAATCAGAGTGACTGATCTGATGGACTGTAAAATCTGATCCTCAGGACTGTGTTTTTTGTGTCTCTGTGTGTCTTTAAAATTAAATTGAAAAATGTTTTTATTGTCATAGGACAGTATTTTGAATTTTGTTCCTTGTCCAGAGGAAAAGAGCAGAATAAAAAAATCATAGAAGACACCAAATTATAAAATGGGTGCTTGCAGTCATGATCATTCAGTGATGGGGCATGAAGCTAACAAATGTTATGACATGAAAAGCTTTCTTTTTTAGTGGGGCAGATTCAAACTAAGGAGAATTTTGAAGTTTGGGGTTTTGGAGTAAGGCAAAAATACTGACTTGGAGATAACTAATATTATGTGGTATGGAATTCAGTCAAACAGTTTTCTTACTATCTGCTTCTCTCATAGTATTTGGAGAAATGCACTGTAGTTTATTTTAAATGAGAATTCAATAGATATTTGAGGAAATATTGTTTTCCCCCCTTCTTAATAGGCATATAGGTTTTCTCCGCTCCCTGAAATGGTGATGGGTTCTCCACCTCCGCCTGTGCCTCCTAGAACAGGACCTGTTGCCGTCACCTCTCTTAGGAGGTACTATGTTGCTGCTTTATCTTTTAGTTGAGAATCACGTGTTCAGATGTATTGCATTGATATATTGTTGTACCAAAGAGATATTTGTAAATTTTCAGCTTAGTGCTGTCATTTTACAAAGCTTCAATCTTCAGACAAGCAAAGAAAAATGTGGGTCTTTATTCAACTGCAAACTGATCAAATACCTAAGAAATATACAAAATCAATACCATAGCCTCTTTCAAATTATTATTGAAGCATTCTGTTGTAAAGGCATAATGTCAAATTAATTGTGCTATGAAACAAGTGAATGATTCATAAACCTCCCTGTTTTTCTGTCTGGAATGACCAGATGGATGCAGCACAGTACAATGTATATAGATGACCTGATAAAACTGGGTTTCTTATGATTCCTTTAAATTAATGATAAAGATGACGATGACTCAGTTTTAACATTCTTTTAATATTTAGTGCACAGTCCTCCAGCATTGCTGTTGTGCAACCTCCATTCATTATGCCTTTTAATCCCTGTATTTTCACTGTTAGCCAGCTCATACAGTGCATTTCTCAGATGCTGTTGCTTGGGTGCAGGCTTATGAAATCACTTGGCCATCCAAACAATGGGTTTTACAAAAATCACACCCTGGGCCATCTGCAGAGCCACAGCACTGGATGCATGTTGTATTTTACTGTGCATTGCCACAGGAATACAGAAATAGCTGAGCTGTGCTGATTGGCTGCCAGTGATGTCAGGTAAGAGATGTGCAAAAATACCAGTGAACTATAGAACACAGGCTGCCATGTTTATCCTTCATTGTCAGAAAAAAGACTAGCAACACCCACCCACATCAGAAAATTGTGAACTCTGGTGAGATCATTGTGCTTTTCAAATCCGAAGGTATAGTAAAGATACAGTAACTATCCAGTGCAGTTTGTTGGAACTTTCTTACTTTTAATTTTCAAACATTTATTTGTGCTTTGCCAAAAGCAATTTTTCTATACTACAAAAGAAAACATTTATATATCAAGTAGAAATCAGGCTTTCTCCCTAACTGCCTTTAATTTCCTCTGGCTCCCATCCCTATAAAATAAAATTGTTGCCTTTTGGTTAAGATCTATTTTGGTCCATGGCAATGTTTGTAAAATACAGTTCTGTGATAGATGATTGGAGTAAGTTGTAGATAGCAGCCAATGTGTATGTGATGTTGAAATGACTCATGTTTCCAATATATATATTGTACAGGTCGACCTCCGATATTGGCAGCAAGACAAGAATATCAGAGTCCAGTGGGACTGAACAGATACAGCCGCATGATCATGCCCCTTTTGTCCCAGTATCAAGAGCCCCAGTATCTGTGGCTCCATTGGATCAATCAGCTTTGAATTACTCAGGTGAAAAACGCATGCGGTACAAACAGAGACCACATCTAAGTCTGTATGGCATAGAGACGAGCGTATGAGATCTTGCCAACACCTTTCTTTAGAACTGTGTTGAATTGTTCTCTTGAAGGCTTGAGGAGGAGGATTGATAAAAGCATCCCCACACACTCTTTCATTTATCACATGAAGCATATTTCTAATATGGGAGAGGAATTGGGGAGTAAGGACCTAGTCTTTCTCTTTGAAGCACCTGGATGTGGTATGTTTCTGAGACAGGATTCTGGAACTGATGGTGTGTTATGGTACAGAAAACAAATGGCCATGTAATGTAGTCAGTTTTCCTTATGATGGCTCCTTACTCTTGAGTTGGAAACACTCTGGGTTGACCTCAAAGCCCCAAACTCTCTTTAGAAAAAGCTAGTTCAGGTTACAACTTCTAGCTCCACATGGTGAAGCCACTCTGAATTGCTGCTAAATGTCACGTGTTTCTTTGTATTTCCAACTTGCAAGCTTGCATGTCTTTGCAAACCAGTCAAAAAAGATTAGGTGAGGATATCCTCATTAGCGACTAAGAGACTGCCAGTGTGGTGAATTTATTCAGATTAACTTCACCTCGTCATTAATAAGCTGAATGCATATTACGTATAGGCATGGCACCAGCAACCACCTTTTAATGCAGCACAAACTTCAGACAATTAACACATGAAGCTGCTTCATATTGAGTCAGATCATTGGTTCATCTGACCCAGCATCATCTATTTTGATAGACAGAAGTTCTCCACAAGGTCTCAGACAGCAATTTTCAGATATTCCGCTGAAGAGCCTCTTAACTGGAGATGCTAGGGATTGAAACTAAGACTTTAACCATGCTAAACATATTGCTCCTGTTGAGCCTTGATCCCAACATATTTCTTTGATTTCAAAGAAATTCCAGTCAACTGATCACTTCTATTTGTATAAAGAAATGCTGCAGACATAATGTCTTCTTAGGTACACTGGAATTCTACATCTTAAATGTTTGTATAAGCTTATTTGCGAATAAGTTGGGCTCATCTCCTTTTTTTAAGCATTGTAACCGAACTGCCATTTTATCAGTCTTCTTATTTTCATTATATGTTGCTAAAGTCCATGACATTTAAGACTTGAAAAAAAAATACTGTTCATCAGGAAACCAAGGGAATGTATATTGGCTTCAAAGAAAGAATAGTGAGACAGGAAAGGCAGGTGCAGGCAAATCCAAGTGGGATCCCTTAGAATTCTTGACCATGAGGAGGCCTGGAAGAAATCCATGCCTTTCAGGGCTTTTGACTCCTGCTGGAACCACACTGATTGCTTGCTCTTCACTCAGTTATCTACAGAAACAGCATATATGGCAAAGTAAAGGTGAGCAAAGAAAAAAGAGCTGTTCATCAAAATCTTTTGGTGAGGATGAAACTGGGGTTTCCTTATGCTTGCTGATGCTATTAATAAAGTATGTCTGCTATAGTTGTATCATCAATATGTTCCATCTTTCCCCGCCACCCATCTCAACCAATACATCAAAAGAACTAAGCATCCCCACATATTTGGGAATACATGAACCCAATTCTGCGAAGGATCTGCAAATATTTGGGAATAAGTTAATCTGATTCTCCAACATAATGAGACATTAGCTTCTGAACCAAAGCCTAGAAGCAAGATTTTTTTTCGTTGTACTGCTCTCAAAAGAAATTTGGGTGATGAAATATGAAAAGGAAATAAGTTTGTAGGAGAATATGGTATCCTGTTCACAGATTTAATGCTGTTATTTCTGAAGGTTTTTTCTTTCCTTTGAGTTTTCCACATTATATTTTACTGTTTAATACTAACTATTGTTCAGATCGTGGGAATTGATCTATACATAGTTAATGACAGTCCTCTATGTTTTTAAGTCCTTTTGCTCCATAGTTGAGGTTTCTATTTTCTATCTGCTGTTGTAATATATTTTCATCCAAATCAGAAAAGTAAATAAAAACCTTTCCTGTTCTGCTACAATGCTGATGTCAGTTTGTATTATCAGTAGCAGTAAATGATCAGTGGAATAAATTTGTACTTCCTATCAACTGGACGTTTGACATTTTAATAAGTAATAATTAATACATTGCAGGCTTGATAAAATATGTTAGTAGGCTCATGGAGGCCAGGAATAGGCACCTATCCATGCTGACGATAAAGTGTTCCAACACAGTTTCTTGATTCCTGGAGTAAATAGGAGGGCATGGTTTTCCATTCGCTATTAGCTGTCAGACATTCTAAAACCTTAGAATCAGGAGAAATAACTCTGGGCTAAATGAACTGTTGATCTTGAAGCATTTGGGTTTCCTTTATTTTTGTGAATCTAAAATCATAAATTACTTATTGGAAGGACACTGTGTCCACGTTTCCTACACATGTAAAATAACATATTTGTAAAAAAACAGAATTTCAATATGTTTTACAAGGTCAACACCAGATAATGCCTTTATCTTTAAAAATAATCTGCCCCTACAAAATAGCGACAAAAACCACACTTACATGAAAGCAAGTTTCATGGAAGGAATAGAAGTTGCAGTGATTCTCTGTTTGAATAAGCTATGGACTGGTTTTGAAATATTTCTTTACTTACTTTGCACCAAGTTGGAAATTAAGGGCTTGTAGAAATTTCACTGTATTGCCTTAGGCTATGATCCAGTGGAGCATTTAAGTTTAACTTAATTTTAAGCATGTAAATAGTTCCAGTGGGACCACTCAGCACAGTCTGCATGTTATCAGGCGATGTGGTAGTGATTATGTGCTCTTTCACTCACAGCTCCTGATGGCTTTAAAGGCCCTTTGCTTTTCTGACAGACAGCAATTTAGCAGGACCTTTGGGGCAGCCCACTGCCACAAATAACTTTTGTCATGAGCTGTTTCTGAAAAAGTGCAGTCTAGCTGACCGTTTCTGGAATGGACCTGTAATATGATTGTATAAAGATAATTATTTAACTGTTGGAATAGGGAGAAATATGATTCTGGCAGCATCTGGTTAAGTAGCACAGTAGTTCTGCCTTGCTGCTCTGGGGGATATTACTGTTAATTTCTTATCCCCACCTCTAAGCAAGCAACCCATTTGCCATTATAGAATGCTTATAATGCCCTTTCTATCAAAGGGCAGAGCATCAACTATATACAGTCAGAGACAAAAAACATAACATAAATATACATAAAACCCACAACATCCCACAAGCCATGTCAGGCACAACTCAGCAGCTTAATCTGGTGAATCGAAGAGAAAATCGGGTGAGATTCTCCTCCAGAGGTCTAAAGGAAGACCAACCCACTGATGCGGAGTTGGATCTTGAAAGCACCACATTTTTTTACTGCCGGAAACTTGGGAGATTCTACACACACATAAAATTCTATTTGGACCACACTCAGCATTTTGACATCATACATGAAGTGGACCCAAAGAAAATAGTGTTATCAAAGTTATGGATGACCTACTTTCCCTATTGATTTTGGTGTATCTGTCAAAGCATGACTGTGCCTGGAACTAGCCCACTAACATTTTAAGAAGCACTACAATTAAATTGAGATGCAATCTTGGTGATTTTTTTTAAATGCACCTAAATATTTACTCCTGAACATGTTATAATCTCATCTTTCATTATACCCATTGCATCTCTTTAGGAGTAGCTATAACCAATTACATGCACATAACTGGAGCTCACTTGAGAGGACACTTGAAGCATATGTCCTAGCCTGTTTTCCAAGGTGGGGGGAAGAATATAGTGACCATCTGAATTTTTATGATAAATTCCACTTCTACTTTTTCTTTATAGAAACTCTATATTAGTTTGTGTAAGAGAAGTGCAGGTTAGCTGGGATGCCCTTAGGGAACTCAGGAGATATTCTAAGATGGCTGTTACTTGAGCCGTATCAGCGAGCCTGTCAGTGTCTGGCAGGTACAGCATAAAAGAACATCAAAACCTAGGAAAGATAATGTTATAATTTCAATCAGCGCTAGTTATTAACAGGGTTTTTTCTATGAATATTTTGTAACTTGAATTTAGATTAGTGGATTTTGAAAGCTGGTGGGTGGAGGATAACAGGGGACTTCTCCCATCTTAACATATGCATTTTTAGTCTTGATGTTTTGAAACTTGGATGAAAGCCTCTTGTGGGTGTAAATCTGTAATTGGAGGCACTGAATGGACTGCTTCAGAATAAGAATGACTAATTGGAGATTTCAGTAGTGAGGAAGCATGGTAAACTATCAAGGCAATGTTTGATCTGTGATAAAGAAGCACTGCGGAAACCCATGTAGCTTTTAAGTTGCCATGGAGTTACAATCCTAAAAAAAATATTTAAAAAAAGACCAGCAAAAACACCTACTTGAGTTCAAAGCCACTCTACTGAATTCTGTAGGACTTAAAAGGTCTCGAGCAGTATCACTTGTATATTTTAGGATCTACCACTGTACAATTTGCAGCATACTGGGAATTAGATATCTTTGATCATAAATCCTGAAACCACCCAAATCAAGAAACAGGTGCCCCCATATGCACCATTAGCAAAGCAATGAATGGTGGTTCAGCTAGCACTTTTCAGTCTGAGGAAGTGCAGAATTCCCTAGGGCTTCAGTGTTCTTTGACTACCTCAGAAAAAAAAATTATGAAAACAATAATTAGCTAATTCCTGACATTTAACTCCATCAATACTGGTTAGTAGGCTATATGGGGCATTTAGCCACTTATTTTGAAGTGACTGAACAAGACACATTAAATTTCATCCAGTCCTCATATTATTGATTGTGATAGTAGTGGTTTCCCCAGAAATCCAAGCAGGTTTCTGCTAATTGTTTAATTGTAAGAACGAAACTTTTATGGTAACTCTACAATATATTGCCACTGCGATGTTTGAAGAGTCCCTTGCGGCCACATGGGTTTGATTTTAGTGGTGTGCATGACTAAAATTCTTCTCTTTCCCAGCAGAAACAGTTTGAAATGTATACTTTTATGAATGCAAAACGTGTTTAATAATTTAGCATGTGTATTGGATGGTGAGTTCTGTTACAATCAGGTCCTGATTTTGAGTGGCCCTTTCTGTATTTGCATTACAACAGGCGCCCCGTTTTGTTTTTGGAATTTGAGGGTAGGAGGAACGTTCACTACTGCTCTTCTGCTCAGGATCAAAAGGGTTGAATGTGTGGAGAAGATTTATACCTCTAGCACTCTTGCTTTAAAAATTATTTTACTAGTCATGAATTAATGGTAATAATGGGACTTGCTGTCTTATTTTTCATTGAAGCTTACTTAAGATTTGCAACCTTCTTGATCTGGGATCAAAAGATTGGCACTGAAGAGAAGCTTACCATTGTCCCAGCAGGATAGCAGCTCCTCACTACCCTCAACTTGGGTTTAATGTCACAAGCCATCTCTGTAATTGTGAAGTGTGGTGTAAATATACAACTATGGTATAAATATTAATACTGGAAATGGCTTTAAGCGGTAAAAGCTTTTTCCCAGTTTGTGTTGCATCTACAATCACCCCAGCCTATGAGTTTGAGAGACTCTGATTGTACTATGATGTCTCTGTTTCTTAACTGTTTTTTTTAATTGCTGTTTCTAGATTGTTGTTGAGTCCCATAAGGGTAAAGGCACCCCATACTACTTCTGATCAGGAGTATCAGCAAAGGAATATAACCTCCTGAAACAGTTTAAATTCAGATTTCAAGGCATCACACTAGAGTGATCATGTGTCATTAGAGGAAATTACTCCAAGAACACATGCGGTGCACTTCTAAACCCTCCCCTGCTCCCAATAAAGGGTGTGTGGTTGGTGTCCTTGGTATGACTCATCTCATGTAACTCCATAAACGCCATTTATGCAATTCTGACAACCCCATTGTAGACAACGGAGGCTGGAAACTGTGCTGTATACTGAATTGGAACAAAAATGGAACTTTGTCTTATTAAAATATATTGTTTTTGTTTAACATCCCCCGTGTGTGAAGTGTTTTGTTTCAGAGTTGCTCAGCTAAACCTGTCCATTTAATAACATACCACATGCAAAGGACTGGGCTGTTTTGTAGGCAGACAATTGTTTACAAATGATGACAATAATGAAACAGCCATGTAAACTTTTAAATTATTATTAGCTGGCTTATTGCCTAGAACAATATGGTTTTCATAATATAAAGATCAAACTGGAGTGGGAGACACAGAACACATACGTTATATGGTTGAAATACAAACCATATTGGCATCAGGAACTAGCCCTGAATGCTTTGAGTGAATAAAAGGAAGTGTTGCTTGCTATGTTGGTAAAGGATTATTAAGTATAGATGGCACTGAATTAAGACTTACTGAGTGTCTTGACTCCTGGCTACAGATGTGTTCATCACTTGGAACATTTTAACACACAAGGCTTAATTTTTCCCTTCTATAATATGAGCACAGACTAGAAATACACATATTTTCAATAAGCTAACATGTTGTACATACCAATAATGGGTAAACATTTTAGATCCATGCATGGCGTCACTTTCAAAACTAATGTAGTCTTGGGTAAGTCCTAGAAAAGACATTCTAAAGCTGGAATTTCTTCTTGGAAGCGAAACTCATTATCTTACATTTGTCTTAATTTTCAATAAATATACAAAAGCTCTAGCTGAAAATCCAGTAAGTTTTGTTATCATAGATTCAGACCAAGGGGGATGGGGGAATGGGATGTTAAACGTTGATAGCTTATGTTATTGATTTCCCCACCTTGCCTCCTCCCAAAATAATGGGTCAACAGCGCAAGAAGGGGGACATTTGCTACTGAAATAATTTAATGCTACTGAAATAATCTTAATGTTTTCATGCCTTTTATTTAAAGCCTTTCATTACATTTGAGATTCTGATTCAAATAAAGGTTACAAGCTGTAGTCAAGTGCTTGTTGCATTTAATAACCGTGCATGTTGGAAACAGATGCATGCAGTGTGTAAGAGAGAAGCTTCGCTGAACAGAAGATGGAGATGGATTATTTTTCTAACCCTTGGCAACATATTTCAAGCTGAAAGTAGTGATGTGTTGCTAGCAATTTAACGAGCAGCTCCCAGATGAGACCAGTGAGACTTAAGCATTTATCCATTTGCCAACTGATAAAGAAGATCAACTTCATGGACAAATAAAATGTTTATGAGAAAATGCTAAAAAGTATCAGAAGACAACATAACACAATATGGTCATGAAATATTTGTTAATGTAAAACTGCTGGAATAGGGAATGTTAAAGGAATTAAAGATTTAAATAACATTAATTTAAATACCATGTGATCAGTACATTTTATGAACTATGTGAAGTCAAATCCACACAAAAGAGAAATAGTCACACCTCCCTTTACAGTACTTCCCCCTCTTTATTCTCATAGGTAATAACTGTGCATATATAGTATTAGCTACACAGAATGTTTCATGTAGGAGTATTTTACAGAATGTACACACAAATCAATTTACAGGGTAGCAACAGGGCTCATCAGATGATCTAAATACTGCTGTAATTGCTTATTGTTCAGTAGGATTCTGTGGGCCAAGTATACTAAGAGCATGTCCAACAATGGAGATAATGAAAACAGCACTGTGTTAGTTTTTCAGATAATAAATTGTGTACAAGAAACTATATTCTAAACCAGCACTTGAACTAATATGTTTAATGCCATATACATTTCTTTACATGAATTAACAAAGCCATTAGAATTCTGACTCGCAACATCTCTTTGGCTTTCTTTCTGCATTAGCATAAATCTTAAGGAATTGTACCTGCACTTTGCCTGTGTTCGGTTGCATAATGGCTTGACAACTAATATATGGCAGACAAGTACTGTCTCTGTAGTTATGTGATCTTGGTGATGGCAGCTCCATCAAGAGCAACGTCTTTACTGGGATATTTCATCCAACAACAGTGGCAACAAGGCACTAGGTGCAGATTACAGTCATATGTGATCTGATTCTGCCAAGAGGCCCTCTGTTGACAGAGCTAAGTGGCATCTAGCTGGAACATCTCAGGTATCCTTTGAATGCTCCTCTGCATCTGGAGCAATGTGTTTGATTGCTAATCATTTTCCCTATTTCTTGATAGGAGGTACAGTTCCAGCAGTGTTTGCCATCCCAGCAACAAACCGACCTGGGTTTACAGGCTATTTCATCCCAACACCACCAACTGCATATAGGAACCAGGGCTGGATGTCCTATGCTGGAGAAAACGAATTACCAGGACAATGGGCTGACTCGGTAATTATACATATATTATTTCAATTGTTTGTTTGTTTCTTCGTATGCATGAACACTAAGATGAAGTATATGGAAATGGAAATTTCAACAGAGATAGCATTCCTTGGGACAATAGCTTGCAATAGCTAAAAATTTAGCTATGTTGTTTTTTCATCGATAGAAACAGAAAGATTAAAATATGATTGGACATAGAAATGGGTGAGGATTTCTCTCTCTCCTAAGGTCTTTAATAATTCAAATTTCATCAAAATTTGTGAGCTCAAAATAGTGGTATGCTAGTACATATTTTACGATTGACAATTCTTCATTCTGCTGAGAAGAATTTTGCTATAGTAGATATTAGAACTCTCAATTATACAAATGTATAAATGTATAATTGTGGGGTTTTTTTTAAAAAGCAGTCAACATTTTCATTTACCAAAACTGTTTGTATCTGTATTTTGACCTGCCCTCCTAGGCCCCATCTACACTGCCATATAAAATGAAAATTATCTGCTTTGAACTGGATTATATGGCAGTATAGACACATATAACCCAGTTCAAAGTAGATAATGTGGATCATCTGTTTTGATAATTATAGGGCAGTGTAGATCCAGCCTTAAAGAGATTCTGGAATAATCTCATGCCTATAGTCTATATATTGATCAAGTCAATTAGTCAGCTCCAGTAACTCATCAATTAAAGTTTAGAGCTCACCATATCTTGGACCAATGTTCCTATAAAGGTAAGCTTGGACTTGTGGTGTGCTTTTCTGGGGTGTTGAAAATGAGTTTCTGAACCATGAGCTATGGGCAATTTATTGTAGGTTTATATTGGGCCCTTGTATGTATGTATGTATGTATGTATGTATGTATTTATTATTTGAACTTATATGCTTCCATTCCCTGGGGCTCGAAGTGGCTTACAAAAACAGGCTAAAATCGAACACAATTTAAAACAATTTAAAAACAATCAGAGATCAAAGGCCCGTCGAAATAGATATGTCTTACATGCCCTGTGGAAAGCTGATAAATCCCGCAAGGCACGGACTTCAGGTGGGAGAGTATTCCAGAGTGATGGTGCCACTGCTGTGAAGGCTCTGCGTCTGGTTGCTGTTAGACGCAAGGTCTTGACACTGGGAATTTCCAATAGATCTTGGTCCTCAGAACGGAGGGATATCTGGGGTTGGTAGGGGGTGAGGCGGTCCCTCAGGTACATCGGCCCCAGACCATGCAAGGCCTTAAAGGTGAGTACCATCACTTTGAAAGTGATCCGGTGCTCAATTGGTAACCAATGCAGCTGCAGTAAGATTGGTGTCATGTGGCATCTCATCGGAGTTCCCTCAAGAAGCCGAGCAGCTGCGTTTTGTACCAGCTTGAGCTTCCGGATCACTGACAGAGGAAGGCCAATGTAGAGGGCGTTACAGTAGTCCAGTCTTGAGATGACCGTAGCCTGGATCACCGTAGCTAGGTCGTCCCTGGACAGGTAGGGGGCCAGCCGTCTAGCTTGCCACAGATGAAAAAAGGCGGTTCTGCTAGCGGCGGAGACCTGGCCTCCATTGTCAGCAGAAGGTCCAAAAGGATTCCCAGACTCTTTACCAATGATGACGGGCATAGCGCCTCGCCATCCAGGGTAGGCAGCTGGATATCTCCACTGCCTGGTTGACCCAGCCATAGGATCTCCGTCTTTGCTGGATTCACCCTCAACCTGCTGGCACGCAGCCATCCAGTAACGGCCTCGAGGCACTGATGGAAACAATCGGGTACAGAGTCCGGTCGGCCTTCCATCTTCAGCACAAGCTGAGTGTCATCAGCGTACTGGTAACACTCAAACCGAAAACCTCGAACCAGCTGAGCAAGTGGTCGCATATAGATGTTAAGCAATAGAGGGGAGAGAATGGCCCCTTGAGGGGCCATTTTTTTTTGCCTTGGAGAGAGAGTAAAATAAACTCATTTTAACAATGCATAGAAATCTGAAGTTATATTTTGAAACGAACTTTGTTCTGTTTTTAAACAAGCCAACTTCAGATTATGGTGTATAATACACCAACATCACTAAAATTAATTACTGCAATAGGGAAAAGGAACACACAAAAATATTTTCCTCTAAATATTAGCATTTTATTAAAATTCTGTTTTCCCTTTTGATCAGCAAAGTTTCACTAATACATTCTCTATGCATGTAGATTCGGCATAGAGTTAAAGCAACCAGATTCTGTCTGATCTTGGAAACAAAGCAGGGTCAGCCCTGGTTAGTATTGGATGGGAGGCCTCAAATGCAAATGTACTTCATTTCAGATGAAAGGCCTGGCAAAACCATCTCTGCAGATTCCTTACCAAAGGAAACTTAGCAAAATTCAAAGGGGTGGCCATAAATCTTCACATGACTTGATAGCACATACACACATGTGCACAAACTATTCAAAATAAATATCAGTAATTGTCTAACAGTAACAACAATAATTTTAATTCTCACTCCCCAATAAAGATTAAGCCCCCCTTTACATTGCCATATAAAATCCAGATTATCCGCTTTGAACTGGATTATATGGCAGTGTAGACTTATAATCTAGTTCAAAACAGATAATGTGGATTATCTGCTTTGATAATCTGAATTATCTGGCAGTGCAGAAGGGGCCTAAGATTTTGAAAACATTTGCTCCCACCACCTCAATTTATTATTCAAATAATGGCTTTGCAGTGTCACTAACAGTCCTAGAAAAATGAAAAGAAACATTAGATTGGCAAAGCAGTTTACATCTCTACGATGCTTTGTCTCTGAAGCTGTGCAGTATTTCACAAACTAGATTAGTGAAATACTGGCCTCTAGTGTTTGTTCTCACACAGATCCATTCACTAAAGGTGCCTGGTTTACACAATTATTTATTTATTTATTTACTACGCTTATATACCGCAATTCTCAGCCTACTGGCGACTCATTGCTGTGTACAACATGAAAAGGTGCGAAAAACAGCATACAATAAAATCCACAATACATAATTATCAACATCATCAAAACATCATCAAAACATCATCCTTACTACAAGATCATTCCGAGTCGTCTCATCGTCAAATTCACAATCAGATACCATTTCCGTAGTTCCATTCCTATGGTCAAGTTACCAGTCATTGCACTTCTATTCAAAAGCCTTCTTAAACAGCCAGGTCTTCAGCTTCCGTGACCCGGAGCTCTTCCAGGGCCCCATTGATGGCGCCCAGGTAATTGGGGAGGAGGTCCAGGAGGCAGGCGGCCAGGAAGACCCCGCTGGTAAAGCAGCCCAGCAGGCCGAGGGACTCCCTCCGGAGCGCGGAGGAGCCTGGAGGGAAGAGGCGCAGGGGCATGAGCCCGCCGAGGAGGGTTGCGGCCAGCAGGGTGGCCAGAGAGCCCAGCTTGACCATCTCCAGCCCTGCGGAGTGGAGCGGCGGCAAGGGGCCCCAGGCCAAGGGCCCCAAGGGGTCCTCCATGAGCGCGGCTGCTTCAAAGCCAGGACCCGATGGCAAGGCCGCCCTACGTCTCCTTCAGAGGGTCACTCCTTTGCCGGACAGGTCATGCTCCTCAATGGAAGGCCACCGCGTGCCGCGTCCCTTCAGGCTCCAACCGGAAATAGGCCTTCACACGCTTCTGGAAGTCCCGCATATGGGAGAAAAATCACTCAATGTCACTCATGTCCCAGCATTCCCTAGATTTTCATGGTGTGCTTACTATCGATGAAATGGTAAGTATTTTGGAAATGCGTGAACAGGAATGAGCTAACAGATGGCAACCCCTCAAGATTTAATTGCCACTTTGTCAATCAGTACAGAATCTTGATGTCCAAAACTGAGGATAAACTTCTTTAAGTAATTCTGGAATTGGAGCATATACAATATCTCAGCTGTTGTATTTGCTTTCTCCCCCAACACAGGTGAATATCACTGATGTACACTGATAAAATGGTATTGAAAGACCTTATATGCATGACTGCAGCAAATTTATTTTTGTGCAGTATTTTACATATGTGCAAATGTTGTTCTTGTGTGTGAAGAAAACCATATGAAAAGAATATTGCTACAAGACTGTGTATGAAAATTTTAGATATTTTGTATTCTTCATTATTAGTATTTACATGTGCATTGCCTAGGGCAATGTACATGCATGCACATTAAAGGAAAATGGGTTTGGATATTAAAACAAGCAAGTGCAATCTCATCCACATAAGCAATAAAGATTTCCCAGTACATCAGCTCTACTTGGAACAAGACAAAGTATTTCAAACCTTCAAAATCCAAGGGGAAATTCAGAGAAGATTAATTTTGAGAGTTTTTCTAAATACAATCCAAACCTTTCTCAATAAAACATGGTAGTGCGTTCAAGTGACTTGTTTTGATGGTGAAGCAGGTTTTTTATTCTCCAAGGATCAGTGTCCATGGCTTAGAAATTGTCCTTAGGTGGGATGCTTGTATATACGATTCTCCCCTGGTTCCCCCCCCCCCCCCAATTTAGCACCTTGTTTATATCTCTTACCATAAGCACAGATTTAGTGGGGAGGCTTGTCCAAATTACTGCCTCTGAGTCTGCAGATACAGGTGTACAACTATGCATAATTACATTGCTCACATCAGATAGTTCTTTTGACAACTAACACACACATTTATCACAATAATTTAAAAAAGTATGCGATAATTGGCAGTTTGAAATGACTTTCCTGAATACATGGGCTGATAATTTTTCAATGCTGTCCTCTAATGGCTTCTTTGCACATGATACCTACTGTGGCTACTCAGCATTGTATCAAAGCAAATTATCTGAGAGCACTGTATCTGTCTAATTGAAATCTTCCATAGGTCCCCCTGCCTGGCTACATAGAAGCTTATTCGCGGCCCCGGTATCAGCACAACTCTCCTGCTAGGATCCCTCGACATTACAGCCAACCGGGAAATATGCACCACATTTCGGAACAATTCTCACTGCCCACCACTGCTGCTTCTCAACAGAGCTTGACAGAAAGTGATCCTTCCGATACCCCGCTGGCCAACCTTTCCACTGCTGCTCTGGTGAAGGCAATAAGAGAAGAAGTAGCTAAGCTCGCAAAGAAGCAAACAGACATGTTTGAGTTTCAGGTGTGATGGTTTCACATGTTTATATCGAAAGCAGGCATCTAGCTTTCAAATAAGACTTGTGGTGGCTTTTGCCAAAGCAAATCCATATTTTCCTATTCTGAGTCAACACTTTTTTTAAAGTGAGTAAATAGACTACTCAATTTTAACACCAGCTCTCTGCCTGTTAAGGCAGGTGTTCCCTGGTAATTTGTTAAAGACTGATGTAATATACTGATCATATGCAATTGTCTGTCACATATCTTTTGATCCGCGAAGCGTCTGTCCTTAGAAACATTACTTAAACCATATGCCTGTCTAATGTTCCAGTTATATTCAGAGCTTGGGAAGCACAAATATAAAATTACTCGCTTGCAACCTGTGCATGTTTAAAAAAATCAACATTTTGTCTTTTTGAATCAAGAAGAAACAATAATAATTTTATGGCAATTGAGAGCCATGACTTTATAACTTAGTGATTGACTTGATACATTTCAGAACCATATCACAAGACTGGTTGCAATAAAGCAATAGAGCTCAGTTCTGCCTAGAAACCACATTTAAATGTTAAGAACTGATGAGAATGTACCCTGAGAGTCTTTTGTAAATATCCCTGAACTCATCATCTTGGTTCATAGCTCCAGAAGGAAAAAATGAATAAGCATACTGGTTTAATTGGTGTCTAAAGAGCTGGGGTAATGTTACAATGGAGTTACACAAAAATGACTTCATTGTGGTATTTCTCTTCACTGTGAAAAGGGAGTGAAAAATGCCAAAGTTAGTAGGTGTTAAAAGCTCTTTGAAACCTCTCACTGAAAACAAATTCTTTGAAAGTGGCTTATATTCAAAAAGCTTTTTGTTGTGAACACATGATAGTGGTAAATTTGAGAACCTTGAGTGCAAGTTTGTTCAGAATAATGAATATACCTGCTGTTACAAGAAAACCTCTGTTTAACATAAAGCTCTCTCCCTTTATCCCCAAACAATGATTTCTAGTGAAGTGATGCCAGAAACAGCTGACCAGAGCTATCACTGACTGGTCATGATGGGATAATGACCATTCAAACTCTTTTAAGTAATCACAATGCCATTGCAGCTTGATTACAACCTGTTGGTTAGATTAAATTGTAAATAAGTAAACAAGTCCATGGATGGAACCGGATAATATTCTGTAAGTGGTGGTTAGGAACGGATATTTTGCCAAATCGAGGATTGTAGAGTCTGATAGATAAATGTAATGTATTGTTCTACAACAATATCATGAAAAATACATCATCTCCTTTGAAAACATGATGGGAGAATACAACTTCATTCTGATTTATGTTTGGAAGCTGGAAAAATGGTAGACAGTTGCGCTAAAGAAAAAGCTTTTGATTTTGCATCTATAGATTTCAGTCCCAACTGATAGACCCATCTAGAGTGCATCCATTGAATCAATTGTTAAATAGTAATTCAACACTTACATAAAGTCCATTGATTCATCAGGAATTCTGTAGTTAGGATTCGCAACTGCATTTATGCCATAACACAATTTGAAGATGAGCTGAGATGGTTCATGGTATAACATTCTGCTGCATTAAAACATACTCTTTAGCTTATTTTATTCAACTTTCTAATGTATTCTGATTCAGTAATGATTTTTTAAATGAGTTTCTTTGGTATCTCCTAAGGGAATTAAGTAAGGAATGTTGCTCCTAGTGATAATCACATATATACATCTATCCAAGAAACAGAAAAGAGACACAAGAGAGTTAAATTTGGAAAAGAAATAATTTTAAGGAAGGTGGTCTTTAAAGAAAATGGAAGAAAACTCACTTCTGTAAATATTACTTTTATGTTATATGTCAAGATCTCCTCAAAAGTCTCAATAATTGTAACACCTTTTGGTGTAAATTATTGTTATTTAAACAAAATCCATATAAATAAAATGTATTTTTATAATCATATGAGTGTATATTTATAAAAATGCTCAATCTGTTACAAAAAATAAATAACAATAAACTGACTTCAAAAATATTAGGAAATACCAATGTGTTGTAGCTGGAGATCCTAGTTGTATATAGATGGTGAGACAACTTTATTGAAGAACCAAAGAAACTCAGTCTTGTAAAAATGAATCTAATGGCCATTTTAAACCTGTTATCAGCCAATTAGTACAAATCGTTTTGCTTTAATGCAATGTGTGTATCTTTTGTCTGTGTTCTGTTCTTGTCCCTTCCAAAGAATTGTAGCTGACAATGCAGGGGAAAGGTATGGCAATTAAAGCGCAATTAATGTAGAAAGATTTCTGACAACAACTAAATTGTGGTTGTAGCTATTCAGATTTATAGACTTCCGCGTAAAAGAAGTGAGCAATCAGCAAAGGTTTTCCTAGAGGACAAAAGAGCCTTATTGTTTCACACCTCTGAAATGGATATGCCAGTCTCATTATTGTTTGCTGGGAGTGGGTGTTTGGGTAGCTGGCCTTCCATATCCATGTATTCAACCATCAAAAGCATGAGAATTTTTTTAGAAATCAAAAAAGCAAACATTCATTTAGACATTTTATTAAAGGGATGTCATTTTACTATGTAGTTATATATACAGTAGATTCTTGTTTAACCAACATAAACAGGCTGGCAGAATGTTGCATAAGTGAAAATGTTGGATAATAAGGAGGGATTAAGGGAAAGCCTATTAAACGTCAAATTATGTTATGGTTTTACAAATTAAGCACCAAAACATCATGTTTTACAACAAATCAACAGTAAAGGCAGTTCAGTACATGGTAACGTTATGTAGTAGTTACTGTATTTACAAATTTAGCACCAAAACATCGTAATGTATTGAAACAGCTGTGGATACGGGTGGGAGGCAGACTGCATTGAATAATACACAACGTTGGATGAGCGAAGGTTGGATAATCGAGACTCTACTATAATGGGATTTTACCATCCCAGTAATCTGGGTATCCGCAGGTTGGGGAGGGGGTACTAGAACCAAACCCCAGTGGGTACCAAGGGCCTATATTACCTCAGGCAAGAAAGAAGGCATCTCCTATTTTGAAGGTAGTTGTGCATATCAGTGTAATGTCAGCTATTTAATATCTCAGTTGTGTGTAAAGTAGATTAATCTGTAGTGAATCCTTAAATTTGTTTTGAAAATAACTCATTAATACTAAGCAAATCCAGAATTATGTTTACATTTGTAGATGATATTGCTATATTACTTTCCATTTTCATATCAATAGAATATCAGCTACTATTCCTTTAAACATATTTGACCACAGGTAATATTGAAAGGCCTATAGGAGTATTACATTTTAGGATCTTGAACTTCAGTCATCTGAAGAGTTCAAGTGAATGCTTTGATACTTTGAAAGCCTTTAGTCTCCTGTTCACAAGATACTTTCATTTATAAACCTCCTGCAAGACTGAGATAAAAGAAGATGGATTGTCTGTTGACTTTTACATGATTTTTAAAAGTCATTTAAAAAATAATCTGCCTTTTATCAAATTGGCCATAACCCAATGCAGATTTATAAAGTTCAATTGATTTCAACAGGAAACACAATTTTGTCCTCTTTTCTAGCCAATATAGTATTTGGTCACCTGGAAACAAATAACGAGGAATCAGTAATCTTCCAGACAACAGTGTCTGAATACCTTATTTCTTTAAAAAGCTGCATCATGTATTGAAAGTAAATACTTTTTAAAATGCTCCCCGATGTGCAATTGATAGGTGGAGTTGTATTGATTTCCAAATTCAATAAGCAATTGACTTTGTTTCTAACACATTAGTGCAATTTATAGAAGTCGTAAGTGCGATAATGTCTCAGGATAAAGGAAGAAGTTTCTGGAAAAAGAAATCACATTCTAATCTATCAAAACCATGATGAGTCAGTGCATTCATGGAGTAAAAATATGGTGTAAAAACAATTTATCTATATTAAATATGCTGCATGATAATTCTTGCAACGTTACCTTTTAGATAGGGATTTCAAAGAGAGTTAATACATCACAAAAGCTATTCTTGTGCTACTGGCACCCACTTTTATCTTCAGCTACCTGGTGCATTAGCAGTCCTCTAGTCATAGATGTCTTTTGCAGCTCCTTTATTCCCAGCCCTTTTGCATCAGATCATTCCTCTCATCATGTTTTCTTTAATCATAATAATCATAATAATAATAAAAACAACTTTATTTTTATACCTCGTCTCCATCTCCCTGAAGGGACTTGGGGCAGCTTACATGGGGCCGAGCCCAATCACACAGAGTTAAAACATAGCATATAAAATATAACAATAAGACAAAACAGCGTAAAACAACTTTATAACAATAATAAAACAAACATCATAAATATCATAATCAACAACCAAGGATATACTCCAAGTCTTGTTGTGGGAGGGTGGGCTGGTGTGCAAACAGGTTAGAAAATAGGCTAATCAATAAGGTGCATAGATCATGTAGCAGTGTAAGGATAAGAGCAGTTATAGCAGGGACATTATGACTGTAATAGTGCACATTTCTCCTAGCCACGCTGAATTTATACTTTTTATTAACTGTGTTGATTTGCGAGAACCCATTAACTATGCATCATAAGATCAGAGAGAAGACATTGCCCTCTATCACCCTTAGCATATCCAATGGTGAGATATAATAGAAGTTGCAAGCTAATCTCTGGATAACCACATTCTTGTTTCAACAAGTTGTTACAAATATTAAAATCTTAACCTTGTTTGTTCCCGCTCTTGTTTCACCCTTATGGCATAATGTCATTCTCTCAGTGCTGTTGTACTGTACAGTCATCGAGAGCATGATAGTTGTCTTGCTGAAAACAATCTATTAATGGCCCCCTTTCGCAGTAGCCAATGTGAGTGTGGATGTCTCATTCCACTTCATTATGAGAGCTAGGTATGTTTAGCTTGGAGAAGAGAAGGTTAAGAGGGGACAGAATGCCCATGTTTAAATAATTGAACTGATGTCATATTGTGGAGGGGTCAAGCTTGTTTTCTGCTGTTCCAGAGACTAGAATACAGAACAATGGATTCAAATTGCAGGAAAAAAAGATTCTACCTAAACATTAGAAAGATCTTCCTGATGGTAAGAGCTGTTCAACAGTGGAATATGCTTCCACAGAGT